TTCCTTTTTAAAAGGGCATCCTATCTAATTTGTCGTATATGTCGCTAGTCTACTATGCGGTGCAACATTGGATGAGCACTTGTGAGTTGTGGTGTATATCGCGACAATTTACCTATCATATATGGACATTGAGGAAAGAAAGAGATAGAACAATACATAATACAGTTGCTATAACCCTATTTGTTCCTTTTTTTTTAGATATAAGTTTTTTCGATGAGCGAACTGAAGTATCGACGCTTGAATACAAACTGTTTATCAATAGTGAATATAGCGGAACCGCTGAATTGAGACGATAAGTCATTGAACGTTCACGATCGTGTCAAACTTATGGGTGTGATAAGCTTAGATGTTCAATTCTGGTAGGAATAGTGTCATATAGAATGAAGGCTTGCCTTCATGAAAGTAGGCGCACCAAGTAGACACCGAATAGCAACTAAGGACCAGGCAGCGTATGTCGCAAGTTGTTTTTACATAGAATGATTTGTTCACGGGAGATACAACAACAGGTCTCGGCGGCAGTTCTCCGTAGGGCAAGCTGGAAATGGTTTTTGAGGAGATGACAAAGGATAAATCGTACGGAATCCAATCCGAGGAATTGTAGTTCACTTTATAATTCCGATAACTATCTACCATATGACTAAGATGCCCACAATTCTGCTGAAAAGCTTGAGTGCGCATTTGCGCGGTCAAATATAGGTTACTAATAATTCACTTAAACTCATTTTGCTGAGGGAATAATCAATGAACGGCCTACAAATATGAGGAGAAAATGAGCAGCTAGGAGTTCAAGGATTGTACGCAAAATTGTAGAGAACATATGAGAATTTTAAAAAATTGCAGCACTTTTTGTGACTTAGGTCTCTGGAGAGCTACGGGACAGGTCTCCAACAGCAAACACTTTTTCTTTGCTCTTCTTTCTTATATCAGATACTTGGAGCCTTTTATCCAGGTGACTCAATCAAGTAACCACTTCTTACCTTCTTTGCAAGGGCCTTAAATCGTTTTACCTTGGAGAAAGAAACACACTCTAAGCAAACAGTGCTGTGATACTTGCCCCTTTCACACGTTTCTACATGTTACAAAGAGGGCTTCGCAAACTGCTAAATTTTTATAGG